TCACCGTGGCTGTGGAGGTGAGGTCCTTCCACCTTCACTCCCCAGTGTGATTCCTTCCTCTGGCCCAGCACCATCTGTGTTACTTCTTTCCATTCTTTACCCTTCTCACTTCACATAATGCTGGCAAGCAGACTAGGTCTCCCACCTCACTTTCACTATTCTTACCTCCCTCTAGGTACTGCTCTCCGTCTACCCCAGAGTACAGAAGGCTGTGGGCTCCTCAGAGAAAATATTTGAGTACCTGGACCGCACCCCTCGCTGCCCACCCAGTGGTCTGTTGACTCCCTTACACTTGGAGGGCCTTGTCCAGTTCCAAGATGTCTCCTTTGCCTACCCAAACCGTCCAGATGTCTTAGTGCTACAGGTACAACCTACCACTCCCTGTATTCCACTGGCCCCAACTATAATTCTGCCATCCTACATTTTCTTCCTGCCTTCAGCCTGCTTACTGCCAAGCATATATCCTTCCTAACCCTTTAAAGGTAATGATAAGCATTGTCTGTTCCATAAATCTTCCCCAAACTCAAGAACCCAGTTTGGGCTTCCAAAGAGAATGGGAGAAGAGGTTTCGAAGCGAGTGCTCTCACATTCCAAGGAATTGCTGCAGGAAAATCTGTGTCTTCGGTCTTCCATCTTTCCTTCTCCTTTGTAATTTGGAATGTGATTTTTCCATTTCCTGGTGGTATCTGACATCAAGTGTATGGCATAGTGGTGCTGGGTGTCTGCCCTTGTCTTTGCCACATCTTCTATCTCTACTCCTTGGGGAGGCATCACCCAGACAGAGATCTGTGCATGTGGCAGGGTAGGAGTTGCTATGTTTCCCTGTTTTTCTTCTGGGGTAAGACATCATGCTATGTAACAAGGCAATAACACCCTCTAGGTTAGAGGCCTTGGTAGCCTCTTATTGTGTGCTTCTCTGGCCTCTAGGGGCTGACATTCACCTTACGCCCTGGCGAGGTGACGGCGCTGGTGGGACCCAATGGGTCTGGGAAGAGCACAGTGGCTGCCCTGCTGCAGAATCTGTACCAGCCCACCGGGGGACAGCTGCTGTTGGATGGGAAGCCACTTCCCCAATATGAGCACCGCTACCTGCACAAGCAGGTATGCAAGAAGGTGGCATGAAGGAAGGCAGGGAGCATCAACTAAGAAGAGCGTTCTTACTGAGCACTCTGAAAGGGGAGTTAGGGAATGATAAGAGACCTTGGGTGGAGATGGTGGTGTGGTCAGGAGGGAGGTAGTATGATTTCATGACATGTTCTCAATAAAGATTTTGAGTCTTCGATCTCCAGATAACCATACTCCCGTGTGCCTTGTTCTATGACTCTTCATCATATTTCATCTCAGGTGGCTGCAGTGGGACAAGAGCCACAGGTATTTGGAAGGAGTCTTCAAGAAAATATTGCCTATGGCCTGACCCAGAAGCCAACTATGGAGGAAATCACAGCTGCTGCAGTAAAGTCTGGGGCCCATAGTTTCATCTCTGGACTCCCTCAGGGCTATGACACAGGTACTCTCTCCACTCATCTCACCACCCAGCCATCTTTACCTTTGCTGAAACCCCAGTAGTCTTGCCTTTATCCTTCAGTTCCTCCTGACTCATGGACATCAATTTGAAGTTGTAAGATCGTGCTCCTATGGCTTCTTCATCCTGACATCCTCAGGATTCTATTCACCCTCCCAGAATCTCCCCTATCCAGCTACAACTGTCAGATCTTGGTGTGTGTGAGTGCATGAATGCATGAGTGTGTCTGTGTGCATGTGCGTGTGTGTACATGTACGCACACATATGGCTATACAGTTCTCATCTTGGCCCTTTGCTCTGCAGAGGTAGGCGAGGCTGGAAGCCAGCTGTCCGGGGGCCAGCGACAGGCAGTGGCATTGGCCCGAGCATTGATCCGGAAGCCATGTGTACTTATCCTGGATGATGCCACCAGTGCCCTGGATGCAAACAGCCAGTTACGGGTGAGGCAGTCATCTTCTTAATGCCTATATCCCACCCCATCTTGCCTCTTTTATACATCTTCCGTTAGTTTTACTAATATCATAATTATACAAACCAGTCCTTGCAATTCTCAGTTCCCAAATCCAGTTCCATTGGATGCCTCCCCAAGGAGTAGAGATAGAAGACAAGGCAAAGACAAGACACCTAGCACCAGTTAAAAGAGACTATCGACAAACTACAGACTGACTTTCTTTCTTTCTTTTTTTTTTTTTTTTTTTTTTGGACAATATCTCACTCTGTTGCCCAAGCTGGAGCGCAGTGGCACAATCTTGGCTCACTGCAGCCTCAACCTCCTGGGCTCAAGCGATTCTCCCCTCAGCCTCCAGAGTAGCTGGGACTACAGACATACGCCACCATGCCTGGTTGACTTTTGTATTTTTAGTAGAGATGTGGTTTCACCATGTTGCCCATGCATGAGTGTGTCTGTGTGCATGTGCGTGTGTGTACATGGCTTTGAATTCCTGAGCTCAGGTAGTCTGCCCACCTCAGCCTCCTAAAGGGCTGGAGTTATAGGTGTGAGCCACCGAGCCCAGTCCTATAGACTGAATTTCTAAAGCGAAATATAACGAAAAAGCCATCCTCATAATATTGTTTATTTTAAAATTTTTTTTGGTACAGACAGGGTCCCACTATGTTGCCTAGGCTGGCCTTGAACTCCTGGGCTCAAGTGATCTTCCCACCTTGACCTCCCAAAGTGCTAGGATTATAGGCATGAGCCACTGGGCCCAGCCCATCCTAATCATAATATTAATTAGCTAGTCTCTTTACACACACTGCCACTCATTTATTCATTAGGAATCCTTCTGAGCTAGGCATTTATCATCATTCTACAGATGACAAAATGGAGGCTAAAAGAGATTGAATAAGCTGCTCATATAGAGGTCATATAGCTTTTGAGTGGTGCAGCCTTGACCCAGATTTGGATCTGCCTGACTTGAAGGCTCACCTCTTTACTACTAAGTTATATTTCCTTAAAATCTAATATAAAAATTCCAAGTCCATGGGTAGAGAAGAGGACTATTCAATAGTCTTTATTCTTCTGTCATGTGTTTCACTCTAGGACTCTCACTTTTATCCCACTTTCGCACCCTTCATTTAAAACAGTTCTTAATGAAACAAAGGGTTTGCAGAGAAGTACTCAGAATGGGAAACTTTGGTGTCCTTAGGGTTGTTGGCAGAGTCAGCAGTGATCCTGTGAGGTCAGTCCCAGCCCTGGAAACACAGGTGGCTCCCTGGGCTCCCAGCTCTGATGGTCTGATGTCTTTCCTCAGGTGGAGCAGCTCCTGTATGAAAGTCCTGAGCGGTCCTCTCGCTCAGTGCTTCTCATCACCCAGAACCTCAGCCTGGTGGAGCAGGCTGACCACATCCTCTTTCTGGAAGGAGGCACTATCCGGGAGCGGGGAACCCACCAGCAGCTCATGGAGAAAAAGGGGTGCTACTGGGCCATGGTACAGGCTCCTGCAGATGCTCCAGAATGAAAGCCTTCTCAGACCTGCGCACTCCATCTCCCTCCCTTTTCTTCTCTCTGTGGTGGAGAACCACAGCTGCAGAGTAGGCAGCTGCCTCTAGAAGGAGTTACTTGAAATTTACTTTGAGTGTGTTACCTCCCTTCCAAGCTCCTCATGATAATGCAGACTTCCTGGAGGACAAACACAGGATTTGTAATTCCTTGGTGTGACTGGGTTTAGAGCCAGGGTTGATGCTTTGGTGTGGCCAGCACTCTGAAAACTGAGAAATGTTCAGAATGTACAGAAAGATGATCAGCTATTGTCAATAGCACTGAAGGCGTATGCTGGCCCATAAACACCCTGTAGGTGCTTGATATTTATAATAAAATTGGTGTTTTGTACTGTGGTTTCTTATGTTTCCGGCACACCAAAGTGCAGCACACTTTTCAGCGCGGGGTGTCTCGTCTTTTATCATCCTCAATGTTTTACCCCCTAAGTGCATCATTTTTTCCCTTAAGCTTTTTAATTCCTATGAGGCCCCTTCCACTTCCCCCATCCCCTTACGCCCACCTCCAAGAATGAGCAAGACCCCGGCTACAGGGCTCACCAAGGCACTAGCGGCCGCAGCTCAGAGCCGTGGCCTCTCCAAGGTGGCAGATGGGGCGGGCGCGGCCAGAGCAAGTGCCAGGGGGGAACGGATGGACTGGGCGCGCCTCACAACTCACCACCTCGCCCGCTTCGGTCCTTCCTGGCTCGCCTGGCTGCGAAGCGGCACCTGGAGGGGAAACCTCAGAACAGTAGGCGGGATTGTCTAGTAAATATCTCCCATTCAGGGAGGTCCAGGTCGTGTGACGTCGACAGTTGCTGGGTAGATGAGGCCAACACATGTTGCACGGAGAGGCGGGGTTTAGAGGCGTGAAACTCCGCAGTGCTCTGCCAAGCAAGGAGCCATGCTAGGAAGGGCGGGCAGAAGGGGCACGCTTTTGTGGGTGACTACAGGTTAGGAGACCGTTGAACTGGGAGGGGCCCTAGGATGGATGCCGTGGAAAGATTCAGAGACTGCGGCCTCTTCCTGGCGCCCCCTTCCCCTACACGCGGCGGTTATATTCTGTTGCAGTTGCCCCAGGACCTGTTCCCAAGACTCTGCCCCCTCTCACTTCCGTCCCTGCTGGTTTTGTAAAGTGATGCTCATAGGAACCCCCACTCCGCGTGAAACTACTCCCAGCTCCTGGCTGACTTCCAGTCTTCTGGTTGAGGCTGCGCCTTTAGATGACACGACCCTACCCACCCCTGTTTCCAGCAGATGCCCAAGCCTGGAAGTACCTCTTACTGTAACCCATCGCCAAGGGGGCTTTTGAAGGCGCCCGTCGCTTTCTTGCTTTCTTCGGACAACCCTTGACCCATCGTTCTCCCGACCCCCATAAAGGGAGAGCAGAGAAGACGGTCCCCAATATGATAGTCTTGGTCCAGGCACTAACTGTCCTTTTCTCGGAAAAGGCAGGGGGATGTGGAAAAGATTCTGGTTCCCTCCCCTTCGATCTGTGGCTTTCGCTTTCATTTCCTCCTCCGAGAACCGACAGATCTCCGGGTGCTGGGCGGTCATGGCGCTACTGGATGTATGCGGAGCCCCCCGAGGGCAGCGGCCGGAATGGGCTCTCCGGGTCGCGGGAAGCGGGCATCGCTCGGACCCAGGACACTACAGTTTCTCTATGCGGTCTCCAGAGCTCGCCTTACCCCGGGGAATGCAGGTCGGGGCTGTAGGGGAACCCTCAGGGATGAGGGAAGGCGGGTGCTGAGGAGTGGAGGGTCGCCTGAGAGGAGGAGGCGAGAGCGGGAGCGCGGGGGACAGGGTGGAGGGCAGCCTTCAGTCCTGGAGAGCGCCAGACCCAAAGAAGAGGCCACGTGGGGATGGGGCCTGAGAGGAGGAAGTGCAAGTTAGGACAAAGAGTTACAGGTGAGGTGGGGGCTCCCAAAGGAAGACAAGAGAGCTTTCCTGCCCTTGTCCACACACAAATCGTGGGGCCTTTTTCATGGGGTTATCACATGATATAGGAGCTGTGTGGTGTCTTGGGAAACCTATGAACTTTGCCTGCTGGCCTCGTCTCAGCAACTCACTTTTGCGCGACTTAGAACAAGTCACTTAGTCTAGGTCCCAAGCCCCTCTTCTGTAAAATGAGGATACTGTTACTAAACGGTGTTTTGTGAGGGTCGAATGGTTTTTGCATGGGAGAAACACTTTAAGTCACTCTCAAAGTTTTTTCGTTATGGTAACAAGTGCTTGCTTTCATTTCTATTGTGCTGGAAAATGGAAAAGGTTGATACAGCATACCTCTTCTTTTCCTTCTCCCAAGTCATTTCCTTCTAGAGATTGGTTATTAACTGTTTCATTTATTGATGGTTAGATAATTTGTGCATATCTCCTCACCCTCATACTCTCTAAAACCTTTTCCTGGAGCCTCTTACTACAGAATGTTTCATTGCCTTTCTCTACCTCTTTTCTCTTATCAGCCCACAGAATTCTTCCAGTCTCTGGGTGGGGACGGAGAAGGGAACGTTCAGATTGACATGGCCCATGGCACCACCACGCTTGCCTTCAAGTTCCAGCATGGAGTGATTGTAGCAGTGGATTCTCGGGCCTCAGCTGGGTCCTACATTGGTGAGTCTATACACTCCAGCAGGCTCCAGAATCTGGGGGGCTGGGCTCCCGTTTCTACAGGAGGCCAACTCTGCAGCTAAGTGGAAGTGGATATTGATTTAGGACACATTGGGGGATCTGTGGGGTCATCCCTTCTCTCCCAAAACTCCATCTTCTTCCAGCTACCTTACGGGTGAACAAGGTGATTGAGATCAACCCTTACCTGCTTGGCACCATGTCTGGCTGTGCAGCAGACTGTCAGTACTGGGAGCGCCTGCTGGCCAAGGAATGCAGGTAAGTGAGGCCTCTCATCTTCCTTTCTTAGTCTAGTGGTTAATCCCTGGATCTCTCAGATCATTGCTCCTTACTCTTGTCCTATGTGGTCCATCTTAGTGCTAATAGCATATTTCACAAAACAGCTTTTTGGTGATAAGAACCTTCTCCCAAATCTCCGCCTGTGCTCCACACATAAGCCAGATAATATGTCAGTTATTTAGCACTGACACATCCACCCTGGTGGGATAGTATCATTTACTAGGCTGCCTTTGTATGTTTCAGATACTTTAAATTCCAAATCTTTCTCTCATCTTTAGATCCTACAAAATAATTCCTTTCCAATGCTTATCTCTTCCATCGTTTCCTGTCTCATCAAGTTGGAAAGAGCTAACCTCCCTTCCCTCACTCCACTTTGTCCTCACCCAGGCTGTACTATTTGCGAAATGGAGATCGTATTTCGGTGTCGGCAGCCTCCAAGCTGCTGTCCAACATGATGTGCCAGTACCGGGGCATGGGCCTCTCTATGGGCAGCATGATCTGTGGCTGGGATAAGAAGGTGGGTGCTCTCCATTCTCCATGTTCCCCCACCATGTCCCCCATGGATGACATATGTGTTTCCCATCATATGCTCCTACTCCCTCCCTGACAAGATGCATGGCATATAGAGTGCTTGGTCATAGAACTGTTCCAGTATATCCATGGACTATTTATTGACCCAGATATGAATCATTTCGTGTGTTTTGTAAGCTTGTCCCTTTTGTTAAATAGTTGATTTCAAGTTTGTTTTTTCTTTTTTATTTCTAAAGTTCTATGACTTTACCAGAGTGATTTCCTAATTCCAGTGTTCTTGTGGTAATATTAATTCTTTTGCCCACTTTTTATGACTCACATTTGAACCTCCATATTACCAACATCTTCCTCTCCAATTTCAGCCTGAAATCTTTCATCTTACAGGGTCCTGGACTCTACTACGTGGATGAACATGGGACTCGGCTCTCAGGAAATATGTTCTCCACTGGTAGTGGGAACACTTATGCCTACGGGGTCATGGACAGTGGCTATCGGCCTAATCTTAGCCCTGAAGAGGCCTATGACCTTGGCCGCAGGGCGATTGCTCATGCCACTCACAGAGACAGCTATTCTGGAGGCGTTGTCAATAGTAAGAGACCAATGCTCCCACCATCATGTCTGGGAGGAATCAGCGGGTGGTTGGGGGGTGATTTAAGATTGAGAAACTAGCCTGGCCAAGATGAAACCCCATCTCTACTAAAAATACAAAAATTAGCCGGACATGGTGACGGGTGCCTATAGTCCCAGCTACTTGGGAGGCTGAGGCAGGAGAATCACTTGAACCTGGGAGGTGGAACTTGGCAGTGAGCCAAGATCATGCCATTGCACTCCAGTCTGGGCCACAGAGCGAGACTCTGTCTCAAAAGAAAAAAAAAAAAAAAATTGAAAGACTCAAAGGAGGGAGAGTGGTAGGAAGGAAATTTTCAGAGTCAGAAGAAGGGCATTAAAGGCCCAGTCATACGGTTTTAAGCCTGCGCATGTGTCTTGTTGCTGCCTTCAACGTAACATCAGTGACAGGAACTTGCTGAGCTGAAAGGTGACTCCGAGTTCTTTTCTCATTTGTCTACAGTGTACCACATGAAGGAAGATGGTTGGGTAAAAGTAGAAAGTACAGATGTCAGTGACCTGCTGCACCAGTACCGGGAAGCCAACCAGTAATGGTGGTGGTGGCAGCTGGGCAGGTCTCCTCCGCGAGGGCTTGGCCGACTCAGGGACCTGAGCCACGTTAAGTCCCAGAAGAAGCAGCCTAGCCTGAGCCAAAGAGAGAGTATGGGCTCAGCAGCCAGAGGAGGTGGTGAAGTGCATCTTCTGCGTGTTCTCTATCTAAACAAGTGTTTCCCCCAGGGAAGCTTCTGGGTGCCCCACTAAGTAGAATAAAGAAAAACGGTTATAAATACCTCTTGTGGCTGAATGGGGTTGGGCCTGTGGTTGTTGGGTGGGGCAGGAAATAAAGAGACACTTTTTCTGGAGAAGAGACTCAGACCCTTATCTAAGAAATGTGGCCTTACCACATATTTCTTCCTGGGGTTTCCTTCCACACTCATCTCTTCAAGACCTCAGGAAGGCTGTTCATTGTTGTTCATGGACATTTATTTGCAATTTCACATAGGTTAGGGTCCTTTCCATAGAGGGACACCTGGGGACTCCTGTGTGCTCCATTGTTAATGGTTTGAGGAACAGAGAGTAGGGCACCTAGGATAACTGTTTTTGACTTTACAGAGTGGGATGAAAAAGCTTCCACTTCACCTTAACACGGTAATCATATAAACACCATACCATTTACCCCAAATAACACTTCGGAGATACTGGATATTGAATATAAAGACAGACATTAGGGGTCCAATTCCATGATGTGTCATGCTGAATTGCAAGATGACAGGACTATAATTCTAGAGGAAGAAGAGATCAGGGGGACTCCCCTAAGTGAGGAGTGCAGGGAAAATGTGAAAGACGCAGGTTAGAAGAAATAGACACACATCATGAGATTTCCGGAATCATGCTGGAACTACGGACCGTGTCCCTTTCCAGAGAATAAAGGAAACAAATGCTTGAAAGTAGGAGCATGAGCTTGAGCATGGAACTTTCTTCATTAGAGAGAGATACTTAAAATTCCAGAATGAATAGAGTTGTAAAAACTTTAGCGAGTCCCTACTTAAAATCCCTCCTCCCCACCACCACTGTTTTAAACTTTAAGTGACTCCTTGGTAGTCACACAGATAACATTTCAAAATGGTGAGTTGGAATCCAAGTGACCCTTCCTTTGGGGATTTTGTTTGTTTGTTTTTAGTTTGGGAGGTGGTTTCAATCTGAAGAGTCCTTTCTGGAATAAACGAATCTTTCTGTTGCATAGGTAGGCTCTGGGTCAGGAAGGATATTTAGAAACCTGATTACTGTTCTAAACAGTGTTAAAATAGAACAAGAACCAAAGCCCAGTACCGTGCATTTCCCTCATAGGCTGAAGGTGCACCCAACATAATTTGGAATACAGGCTTAGAGGCATCTGAGCACGCGCCAGCTCAAGGTGCTCTGCTGAGAAGGACGGATGAAGAGAAGGACGGATGAAGAGGTCAGGGCCTCCTAAATTCAAAATCTGTACGTGAAAATCCCCTTTGGCCTGTTGAGATTGGTTGGAACCTTCTATTTAGGAGAGCCCGGCATATTTTTTCGTTCGCCTAAAACTGGAGCTTGCATGGAACAGGGCACTTTTTTTTTTTTTTTAAGACAAAGTCTCGCTCTTGTCGCCCAGGCTGGAGTGCAATGACCTGATCTCGGCTCACTGAAACCTCTGTCTCCTGAGTTCAAGCAATTCTCCTGCCTCAGCCTCCCGAGTAGCTGGCATTACAGGCGTCTGCCATCATGCCCTGGCTAATTTTTGTATTTTTAGTAGAGACAGGGTTTCACCATGTTGGCCAGGCTGGTCTCGAACTCCTGACTTTAGGCAGTCCTCCCGCCTCGGCCTCCCAAAGTGCTGTGATTACAGGCGTGAGCCACCGCAAGAGGGCACTTCTTAACAGTAAGTTCAGAGCTTGAAGTAGTAACTGAGAAAATCTAGTGATTCTCCAATTACAAAGCATTCTTCAATTACAAAGCAAGGACAACAGATAAAAGTCCTTGAGACAACTGTATTTTACTTAATGATAAAGAAACATTTTTGCAGTTTTATATCCCAGAGTAACCACCACTAAGGGTGAGTGAGACTCATTGAGGCCTGTGCCTTGCGAACCGGAGTTCGGGCTCCTGTTCCGCTGTCTGCGCGTCTCGCGCGCCCCCTCCCGGCGGCCCAGCCCAGAATGAAGGCCTTGGCCGCGGAAGCGAAAGCGAAAGCGAAAGCTGCTCGCGCCCAGACGCCCGCCCTGGCTGAGCGTAGCTGGCTGACCAGAGCCGGTAGCGAAGTTGGGAGAGGCGGAGCGGACCTCAGCGCTGAAGCAGAAGACCCCGGAGCTGCAGTCTCCCCGCCGCGGCTGGTGAGTTGGTGCGGAGGGGAACCTGGAGCGCCAACAGGGACGCAGCCCAAGTGACTACCCACTCTGCGCTCCAGTTTCCCAGTCCCTCTGCACCCGGCGATAGGAGGCAGCGGAGCCCGGACCGCTTAGCTCGCTGCGGCAGGCGGGGGTGGGGGTGGGGGTCCGGGGAATTTTTTTTTTTTTTTTTTTTTTTAAGCGCGAGGCTCCTGATGGTCATGCTTCCAGCTCCCCAGGCAGGCCGAAAGCTGTCTGTTGTAGGAGGGGTGTACGGATGAGCACCGGTTACTCAGGAGAGCTCTCAGGGTCGAATAGGATAAAATGAGAAGCCGATGGACGGGTTGGGCGAAGCCAGGCGGGTAGGAGGGCAGGGACAAGGACTGGGGCTCCACCCCCGTAATTTCTTATCTCGTATCCTTGACAGAGCCATGCCGCTCCCTGACCTGAGACCCTGGACCTTCCTGCTGCTGGTGGACGCGGCTTTACTGTGGCTGCTTCAGGGCCCTGTGGGGACTTTGCTTCCTCAAGGGCTGCCAGGACTATGGCTGGAGGGGACCCTGCGGCTGGGAGGGCTGTGGGGGCTGCTGAAGCTAAGAGGGCTGCTGGGATTTGTGGGGACACTGCTGCCCTCACTCTGTCTGGCCACCCCCCTGACTGTCTCCCTGAGAGCCCTGGTCGCGGGGGCCTCACGTGCTCCCCCAGCCAGAGTCGCTTCAGCCTCTTGGAGCTGGCTGCTGGTGGCATACGGGGCCGCGGGGCTCAGCTGGTCACTGTGGGCTGTTCTGAGCCCTCCTGGAGCCCAGGAGAAGGAGCAGGACCAGGTGAACAACAAAGTCTTGATGTGGAGGCTGCTGAAGCTCTCCAGGCCGGACCTGCCTCTCCTCGTTGCCGCCTTCTTCTTCCTTGTCCTTGCTGTCTTAGGTGAGTCGGGAGAGGACGTTGTGAGTTGGAGGTGGGAAAAGGGCCTGGGCACCAGTACATTCATGCGTTATTTTTCATGCCTCTCTCAGGTGAGACATTAATCCCTCACTATTCTGGTCGTGTGATTGACATCCTGGGAGGTGATTTTGACCCCCATGCCTTTGCCAGTGCCATCTTCTTCATGTGCCTCTTCTCCTTTGGCAGGTAGGTGATGGGCAGCGGGGTCCATTTGCTAGCCCCAAGTCTTTCCAGGGGTCTTCACTTCCCTAACTCTATTTCTAGGCCCTTTCAGGTGCAAAGCACAAAAATACTCAAACTAAAATATGGCAAATGTAGTCACCATTCTGTTTCTTCTATCCATTCATTTCTTCCTTCATTCGTATTCATCCAGTATCTTCAAAGTTTATCTGATCTTATTATAGGTACAAGTTATGAGTGAAGGTAGTACAGAAGGAATTGAAGTCTCAGATGGAATGCCTCTCAGTTGTCTCTCAACATTCCTAGGCCCATGAAATTCCATTTCTTTCTGCCTCCTACCGCTAAGTCTGTCTCCAAAGTATTCTCCAGGGTCACTCTCTCCTCAGGACGGGCATGCTTCTCCCTCTCACTCTTCTTTCCCAACTTACCTTGCCAGTCCCTGAAGATCTTACTCTGAGGCTTATCACCTTTCTTTCCAGAATCATTACTCTTTTCCCTTCACTTGCTTTCCCTTCTCTTTCTAGACATAAACAAACAAACTGTTTGATAAGGCTTGGACTGGGATGAGGTGAGTGAGGCACCTGGGGTGCAAAGTTTAAGGAGGTGCGCACTCACCTTACCCAAATCCCAGCCGGCCTGATTGTCTCTATTTTTATGGTCATACTTAATTTAGAATACCCTCAAAAACCATTTCTTCATTGTGCCTTCATTCCATCCTGGTTGCTTTCTGCTGAAACTACAGTCATGCACTGCATAATGATGTTTAGGTCAATGATGGGCCACATATAAGATGGTGGACCCACAAAATTATAATACCATATTTTTACTGTACCTTTTCTATGTTTCGATACACGAATAGTTACTTCTGTGTTACAGTCACCCACAGTGTTAGGTGCAGTCATATGTTGTACAGATTTGTAGTCTAGGAGGAATAGGCTAAAGTACATGGCCTCGGTGTGCAGTAGGCTATGACATCTAGGTTTGTGTAAGTACATTCCACGATGTTCACACAATGATGAAACTATCTAATGACACATTTCTCAGAATGCATCCCTTTCATTAAAGTCCAAACCCTCATTATATCATGTCTGACTATTCCAAATGCTTCTTCAATATGGTAACTAAATTTGTGTTAGAAACATATATGTTGTAAAATACCTGCTTTTATGCTTTTATATTTTTTCCTCTAAGTTTTACTGTGGACATGTGGTTGGTCTAAGAGGAATTCTCCAACCTGAAGGATGAAAGATGGGAACCACATGACTCGGGCTCCAGAGAATGGTGGGGGCAGGGAGTTTATTACTGCAGTTCCCATGATGAAGTATCTATGATGACAGGCAAGGGCTTTGGGTATGGGGCAGGAAGGAGACGAAGGCAGAGGAGACACACAGAGGGACAAGCCTGAGGGAGGCCAGGACAGAAACAAGCACTGGGATACTTGTTTCCACAGTATCTTTTCCCTTCTATTGTAGCCTTCTATTGTGTCTAGTACAGAGTGCACTCCATAAATACTTGTGAATTTGTACATGTTATGATTTTGTTCTCATATCTAGCTCACCATGTCTCCCCTTTCTTCTTCCTCTGTGTATTCCTTGCCTCTTCTCTCTCTGTGTGTCTGTCTCTCATTTCTTTCTCTTTTGCCTCTCCTGGCATGCTTTCCCCCCGACTTTGTGCTTCTCTGCACTCCTGGCTTGCTCCTCTGTTTCACCCGCTGGCTTGCTCCTTCTCTGCATCTCCCTCCCCTCTCATCTCCTACCCCGCAGCTCACTGTCTGCAGGCTGCCGAGGAGGCTGCTTCACCTACACCATGTCTAGAATCAACTTGCGGATCCGGGAGCAGCTTTTCTCCTCCCTGCTGCGCCAGGACCTCGGTTTCTTCCAGGAGGTGAAGACAGGTGGGACCTGGAGTCCAGGTCTGGGATTCCCATGGACATCCCTTGCCCCTCAGTGATCTTCCATCCACAGCCTCTCCTCCTGCCTTCACTCGTATGCCAGGACCTGGGGATGCTTTTCTCTCATTTGGGACAGGGTGGGAAGCAGCCTCCACTGTCCCTCTGCAAGTGAAGGAGGATGTTCAGAGGAGGGGGCTGTGTCAGAGGGAACGGTTAGGAGGGAGTTTCTGGGGGCCCTGCAGTACACATAGTTTCCTCTTTCCTCACCTGCTCTGTCCTTCTTAGGGGAGCTGAACTCACGGCTGAGCTCGGATACCACCCTGATGAGTAATTGGCTTCCTTTAAATGCCAATGTGCTCTTGCGAAGCCTGGTGAAAGTGGTGGGGCTGTATGGCTTCATGCTCAGCATATCGCCTCGACTCACCCTCCTTTCTCTGCTGGACATGCCCTTCACAATAGCAGCCGAGAAAGTGTACAACACCCGTCATCAGGTGAGTGTGCATGTAAGGGAACCCCAAAGGGAGAATAAAACTGACAGGTGAGGAGGCTTCCACATTTGTGGCTAGAGGATCTCCTAGAGAGAGATGTTCTCTTCTCAGCCCTTAGGGGAGAAGGTATATTGTATGTATATACCACATTTTGCTTGTCCAGCCATCTAACAATGGATATTTGAGTTCAGAAGGTTCATGATCCTCCAGAACTGTAAACAAAAATGTAAAAGTGTGTGTGAGGGTGTGGGGGAGGGAATAGGAAGGGGAGATGATAGGAGGTGATAACTTTTCATTAGCTTCTTAAAGGAGTCTATACATCCCCCACCCCCACTGCAAAGATTAAAAATGATTTCTTGGAGGCTTTTAGGCAGGGAGATTTTCCCTTTAAAATCAGCAGAAGTCTGGATGAAGCATAGGGAAAGGAGGCGTCATCAGGAAGTCCTGAGTCTGAATGTCAGCTCCACCTTCTCTTTTTCTCTTATATTGTAGTAAAACATACATAATATAAAATTTACCATTTTAACCATTTGAAGTGTACAGTGCAGTGACATTTAGGAAACCCACATTGTTATTGGGCAACCATTGTCACTATCCATCTCCAGAACTTTTTTCATCTTCCTAAAATGAAACTCTGTACCCACTAAACAGTAACTGCCCACTACCCCCAACCCCTGGCCCCTGGCAACCTCCATTGTACCTTCTGTCTCCGTGAATTTGATGACTCCAGATACTGTACGTAACTGGAACCATACAGTATTTGTCTTTTTGTGACTGGCTTATTTTACTTAGCATAATGTCTTCGGGCCTCATCCCTATTGTAGCATGCATTAGAATTTCCTCCCTTTTAAGGCTGCATAATATTCTGTTGTGTGCATATGTCACATTTTGATTATCCATCTGTCAATGGACATTTGCGTTGTTTCCACCTTTTGGCTATTGTGAATTCTGCTGCTGTGGACATGAGTGTACAAATATATGTTTGATACCCTGCTTTTGGTTCTTTTGGGTATATACTTAGAAGTGGAGTTGCTGGATCATATGGTAATTCTATTTAAAAATTTTTGAGGAACCGTGTATTAGTCCATTTTTACACTGCTGATAAAGACACACCCAAGATTGGGCAATTTACAAAAGAAAGAGATTTATTGGACTTACAGTTCCGCATGGCTGAGAAGACCTCACAATCATGGCGGAAGGGGAAAGACACATTTCACATGGTAGCAGACAAGAGAAAAGAGAGCTTGTGTAGGGGAACTCCCCTTCTTAACACCACCATATCTCATGAGACTTATTCATTATCACAAGAACAGCACGGAAAAGACTTGCTCCCATGATTGAATTACCTCCTACCCAGTCCCTCCCATGACACATGGGAATTCAAGATGAGATTTGGGTAGGGACACAGCCAGACTGTATCAAACCACCACACAGTTTTCCATAGCGGAGGCAACAATTTTAAATTCCCACCAGCGGTGCATAAGGTTTCCAATTTCTCCACACCCTCATCAACACTTACTACTTTTTGTTGTCTTTTTTTTTTTCTGATAGCCATCCTAATGGTGGTGATTAGGTGATTAGGATTATCTCATTGTGGTTTTGATTTGCATTTCCCTAATGATTAGTAAATGTTGAGCATCTTTTCTTATGTATCTTTTTTGAAAGAATGTAAGTTCTTTGCCCATTTTTTGTTTTTTTTTTTTTGAGTTATGGGAGTTCACTAAATGTTTTGCATATTAATTTCTTATCAGATATATGATTCGCAAATATTTTCTTGCATTTATGGTTGCTTTTTCACTCTGTCAATAGAGTTCTTTGATGCACAAGCGTTTTAGATTCTGATGAAGTCTGATTTATCTATTTTTTGTTGTCTGTGCTTTTGGTGTCATGTCCAAGAAATCATTGCCAAATCTAGTGGCATGAGGCTCTTCTACATTTTCCTAGGAGTTTTATAGTGTTAGCTCTTATGTTGAGGCCTCTGATCCATTTGGAATTACATCTCCCCCTTTCTTAACTATCTGTGGCTCCTTGAGAAAACTACGCTTCCTTCCTGATTCAGACACTGGGGATGGGAGAATTACCTCAAATGCAGGTTAAAAAAAAATTGCATGTATTTCCTCTACTACCTAACACTGAGAGCTCGATAATATTTTGTTCCCTCGCTCCTTCACTCTTCCTCCTTCTGGAAAGAAGAGTAAGGAAGAAGGAAAGAAACAGTTTGGTATTTTTAGGTAGACTAGGGAGCATTGCATAGGCTGGAATAAGATGTGGGGGCCTGCTGTCTCTGCCACATCAGCCCCGGTGTTTGCTGACCCTCTTCCAGGCAGTGCTTCGGGAGATCCAGGATGCAGTGGCCAGGGCAGGGCAGGTGGTGCGGGAGGCCGTTGGAGGGTTGCAGACCGTTCGCAGTTTTGGGGCTGAGGAGCATGAAGTCTGTCGCTATAAAGAGGCCCTTGAACAATGCCGGCAGCTGTATTGGCGGAGAGACCTGGAACGCGCCTTGTACCTGCTCATAAGGAGGGTAAGATAGCAGAGTGGTTGTGAAAGGAGGCCAGGAAAAGGGAAGGGAAAGGGAAAGGGAAACTACAGCTGGTTCTGGGGGCCTTTGCAGGTTAGTCTCCTAGAGGCAGAGAGGGGGAAAGAATGGGAAGATTCCCAGCCTCATTTCTTTCTTCTCCTCTCCCAGGTGCTGCACTTAGGGGTGCAGGTGCTGATGCTGAGCTGTGGGCTGCAGCAGATGCAGGATGGGGAGCTCACCCAGGGCAGCCTGCTTTCCTTTATGATCTACCAGGAGAGCGTGGGGAGCTATGTGCACGTGAGTGAGAAGCCAAGCCCGCTCTCCTTTTTTCCCTCTCTTTTTCTTTGTGGCCTTGTGGGCCTTGGGCTTTATTTGTTCCTTTTAACAATACAATACAAAACCAAAACCGCCAAGTAATTTTGCTATGGAGAATTTTAAACATATGCCAAAAATGAGACAAAATACTTTTACAAATTCACCTGTGTACATCCTGTGCTTTAACAGTGATCAACTCATGCCCAATCTTGTTTGATCTGTATCCCCAGCCACTTCCCCCACCCATATTATTCTGAAGCAAATTCAATATATTATATAGTTTCATCTGTAAATATTTTGGTATGTTTCTTAAAAAATAAACATCTTTAAAAGTATGTAACAACAAAGCCATTATCACACCAAAAAATTAACAATAGTTCTTAAAATTTATCAAATACAGTCAGTTGTCAAATTTCCACTTGTGCTATTCATGTAATATATGTGTATGAGTGTGTTTATTGTACTTTGCTTGAATCAGGATCCAAAACCGGCCACATATTGTGATTGGTTGATACATCTTTTAAGTCTGTCTGTCTGTCTGTCTGTCTATCTATCTATCTATCTATCTATCTATCTATCTAAGTCTATCTATCTGTCTATCTATCTATCTATCTATCTATCTATCTATCTATCTATCTATCCATCTATCTATTTATCTATCTAAGTCTGTCTATGTCTATCTAAGTCTGTCTATCAATCTAAGTCTGTCTATCTATCTATCTATCTATCTATCTCTATCTGTATCTATCTCTATCTAAGTCTATCTATCTATCTAAGTCTGTCTGTCTGTCTGTCTGTCTATCTATCTATCTCTCTCTCTCTCTCTCTCTCTGTCTATCTATCCAAGTCTATCTATCTCTATCTCTCTAAGTCTATCTATCTATCTAAGTCTATCTAAGTCTATCTATCTATCTATCTATCTATCTATCTATCTATCTATCTATCTATGTCTATCTATCTATCTACCTACCTATCTATCTAAGTCTATCTATCTCTATCTAAGTCTGTCTGTCTGTCTATCTATCTATCTATCTATCTATCTATCTATCTATCTATCTATGTCCATCTGTCTGTCTGTCCATCCATCCATCCATCCATCAATCCATGTGTCTTTCTAAAAGTTTCCCTTGCACAGTTTATTTGCTGAAGAAATAGGTTGTTTGTCCTGTAGAGTTTCGTAGGGTCTGGATTTTGTTGACTGAATCCTTGTGGTATTATATGCTCTTCTTCCTCTGTATTTCCTGTCTATTGATAAATACACCTAGAAGCTTGTGAGATTGAGGTTTGTTTTTTTTTTTTTTTTTTTTTTTTTTTTTTTTTTTGTCTTTTTCCAGCAACAGTGCTTTTTAGATGGTGATGCTTTCTTTCTCCAAGAGTCACACAGTGTCTGGTTCTCTATTTGTGGCAACATCAGCCACCGATGAGCAGTACCTAGATCCATGACAGAATTAGGGCTGCAAAAGGGAGATACTCTGTCATTTTTCACATATTATCTGAAGTAGGTCTATGAAGGGAGACTTCCCCTTATCTACCATTTCATTACCCAGTGGTACAGTTTGATGAGGAAAGGCAGAGTGAGCATTTAGGTCTCTTCCTACATTTACCAGTTCTCAAAAACAGCTACTTCATCCAGGGCTTTATTTAAACATTTTCCTAGACACTTGATAAACATCTTTTTTGTGTAGAGAACTGCGCTAGGCACTCTGATGGCTACACAGGTGAGTTGGACACAGTGCCTGCATTTAAGGAGTTCCTGTCTAATCAAGCAAGACAGAACCAGGCCCAAGTAATAGGAAGCAGTAACTGAAAAGATCTGGGGCTAGAGGCAATGCTGAATGGCAGGAGAATGGACTGTATATCTTTTACATTGCAAATTGGAATACTAGGGTATTGGTGCTGCTCTTAAATTCCATCCAAATTGTACATTTAAAGGTGGAGAATCTCTTCTGAATATGGAGGAGGAGCAGTACAGTTGTGAGTGGAGTGTGTGAGGAGTTGGGAGGGTGGTCTGTGGTGGAAGTGTGTTTGATTAGCCGGCTCTCCCATTCCTGTTTTCCAGACCCTGGTATACATATATGGGGATATGCTCAGCAACGTGGGAGCTGCGGACAAGGTTTTCTCCTACATGGACCGACAGCCAAATCTGCCCTCACCTGGCACACTGGCCCCCACCACTCTGCAGGGGGTTGTGAAATTCCAAGACGTCTCCTTCGCATATCCCAATCGCCCCGACAGGCCTGTGCTCAAGGTGCCTGAAAGAGGGAGGAAACCTGGACCCTTGCTCTCTGCTGCTAATGCATAATTGGACATCACAGCCTGTAGTTCATTTGCCTCTGAGAAACTGGTCTTGCCTCTGCTAGGAAGAGAAATGGAGGGATTTTGAGGGAGAAGGGGCAGGCCCTTAACTCTTTTCTGGTTTTCCAGGGGCTGACGTTCACCCTACGTCCTGGTGAGGTGACGGCGCTGGTGGGACCCAATGGGTCTGGGAAGAGCACAGTGGCTGCCCTGCTGCAGAATCTGTACCAGCCCACCGCGGGACAGGTGCTGCTGGATGGAAAGCCCGTCTCACAATATGAACACTGCTACCTGCACAGCCAGGTGGGTGAGGAGGGAGAAGATGGGACAGGAGAAGGGAGCATGTACAGAGAGAGGATGGGAGATCCACGGAGAGATGCGCCAGGTGTTCATTCTGAGGGAGGTAGGTGGGGAGGACAAGAGGGCCCCTGCCTTGGGGGTTTACACATAGTCCTCTGCCCCTGTCCCGTCTGCACAGGTGGTTTCAGTTGGACAGGAGCCTGTGCTGTTCTCCGGTTCTGTGAGGAACAACATTGCTTATGGGCTGCAGAGCTGCGAAGATGATAAGGTGATGGCGGCTGCCCAGGCTGCCCACGCAGATGACTTCATCCAGGAAATGGAGCATGGAATATACACAGGTATCTTCTACAAATTGTAAGCCTGCTCCTTCAGTGAAAAAGAGAAAGTCACACTTACTCTTAGTGATGAGAGTTGTGTCCTTGTAACTTGATGTTTGCTGTTCCTTTGCCCTTTCCTCCATTCCTGTGTCTCCTTCTCCATACCCTGAATTCTTCAGCCTCCATCTTGCTCAAGAGCCTTTGTTTGCAGAGAACAATGCAGCAGTGGTGCTCCCTCCACAGGCAGCCTCGTCAGGTCTCCACCCCATGGCCCTCCTCCTACCTCCCGAGGTCCTACTGGAAGTACCTGCTATGCACTTGTCCCTCCTTGTATGTTATCTCTGTCACTTGTATCTGAGGTAGGGAATTTCTCTGATGTCCTCAGATGTAGGGGAGAAGGGGAGCCAGCTGGCTGCGGGACAGAAACAACGTCTGGCCATTGCCCGGGCCCTTGTGCGAGACCCACGAGTCCTCATCCTGGATGAGGCCACTAGTGCCCTGGATGTGCAGTGCGAGCAGGCCGTGAGTGCCGTGAGAGGGGCGGGGGACGGTGGGGCCTGGGAGCGGGCACGCTGGGAGGATCAGCCTGTGCAGAATTGGGCAGAGGGAGGACGAAGGACCTACTAGTGGAAACAGTCTGTGCCTTCTTGGGGTTGGGGAATGGAATCTGGTGGTGTGAAGGCAGCCCCAATTCCTCCTGGGCTCCCGTTCCTCCAGCTGTGGCAGTACAGCCAGGCGAGAAGGGCAGTCCAGGCCTTTATCTACTGCCCTTTCCTACCTTCTTTTATTTCACATCTTCTTTACCCTAAGTCCTAAGAGATGGTGCCCAGGTGGATGTGGTGTCCGTCTCATTCCTGTCTTTCTGAGGCACTGTGATCACCCCTTCAGCTGCAGGACTGGAATTCCCGTGGGGATCGCACGGTGCTGGTGATCGCTCACAGGCTGCAGACGGTTCAGAGCGCCCACCAGATCCTCGTTCTCCAGGAGGGCGAGCTGCAGAAGCTTGCCCAGCTCCAAGAGGGGCAGGACTTCTATTCCCGCCTGGTGCAGCAGCGGCTGATGGACTGAGGCCCCAGGGATACTGGGCCGTCTTCTCAGGGGCGTCTCCAGGACCCAGAGCTGTTCCTGCTTTGAGTTTCCCAGAGCTGTGTGGCCAGATAGTTATTCCTGAGTTGCAGGCACGATGGAGATTTGGACCCTGTGTGCCTTTGGTGGGATGGAAGGGTGGGGTGGGTTTGGGTGGGGGCTGTCTAGGAAACTTAATTCCTTGGTGACTAGAGCTTTGCCTGGTGATGAGGAGTATTTTGTGGCATAATAAATATATTTTAAAATATTTTCCTTCTTACATGAACTGTATACATTCATGTAGAAAATTTAGACAATATAAAAAAGTACTAAGAAGAAAAGTAAAAGTACCCGTTGTGTCACTTCCCAGAGATAACCGTAGTTACTATTTTGCTGCCTGTCCCATCAGTTGTTTGTCTGTTTTTTGTGATAGAAATTAACAAAAAATGACATAAATATTCATGAGATTGCCTTTCTATATCCTTCCCTGTTCCCACCAGTATCTGCTATTTTGAAGAAGCTAGGGTATGGAGGGACAGAGAACAGTTCCCTGATTAACAGTATTAATATCAACATTGGTAACAGCTACAATTTATAGAGTTTTAATGTGAGTAGGAACTATGCTAAGTGTTTTCAATGTATTATCGTTTTTAATCATTATCCCCAACCCTATGAGGTTGGTTATTACCCCTGTTTTACAGACGAGGAGACTGAAGCTCACAGGGGTTAAATGACTTTCCCAAGGCGGTCATAGTAGTGGACTTGGAGTTTGAACACAGGCCTGACCCTAGAGTCCACACGCTGACCCAAGAAATGATACTGCATCTTGGGTCCATAAACCCTAATCCATAATCAGATTGAGAAAAGCTCTGCTGCTTTGAGCTCTAAATAATTCTGAATCTATTCTCTTCTCTCCGGTCCCATTGTTACAGTCTTCACTCATACACTTAAGATAATCCCATCACCAGAGCGGTTTCTCTGCCATTAGCTTCCCTCTTCCAGCCATTCTTCACAAAGTCATTTTTCTAAATTGTATGTCACATACGATGATGGCATTTCTGAAAATTCCTTCAGGTGCTCTTGAGCCCTACTGCAGAGATCCTTTTCAGGGCACACAGTGTTCCAGCCCATCTGTCTCAGCCTTTCTTGTCGCATTCAGCTCCACAACAAACTTCTTGCCCTCCCCAATACCTTTGTGCCTTTGCATATGGTGTTTTCTTGCCCATTTTCTGCTTGACTCGCCCCTGATTTTCAAGTTCAAGACCTAACTCAGTTTTCAGGTCTTCCAGGAAGCCTTCCTTACGTCGTCAGTCTGGGCAAAGAGCCCTTTCCACGTGCTTCTATCACTGTGTGGTTACCTCTTTCACAGCCCTTTTAAAGTTCTATCTTCCCCTTCCCAGCTTTTTTGACCTTCCACCAGGCCATGAGCACCTGGGTGGAAAGCCACATATCTTATGAAGCTTTATATCTGCTACCTGGTCGAGGGCCAAATTCATAGTGGAGAATAAATAAAAAGTCCGTTGAATAAATGAATAAATATCTCCTCCATAGTGCTCAATCTTAATCCTCCCTGCCCACTCCCACTACTGAAAGTGCAACATTGTACAGATCACTGGTTGATGGGAGGGACTTAACTTGGAAGGTTGCTATTCTAGGAAAGAGAAACCTTCATATTCCCGGAAATAGCAGGTACTTTCCAGTGCTGGCAACGGATTCCCCATGGATTTTTTCTTGCCTGTTGGCTGTTGGGAGCAGGGTGCAGTGAGGATGGGGTAAGAGTGGGCAGTTCTTGTGCAGATTTGCCTTTCTTTCATCCTGGGGCTGACTTGCAGCTCCACACCCATCCATCTGTCAAATTTCACAGACAGTAAAATAGGCCTTTGGAGAGAAAGAGCTCTGGCCTGATTCCTTTCCCTCCCACAAATGTCCTTTATTCATAAAACAGGAATAATAATTCCTGTATCTCCCAACTTTATGGAAGCTGAAGCCCTCACGGAAGAAGATGATCTGAGAAATTCTTTGATTTCCTCAGTGCAGTTACACCCATGCATCATCATACTTTAAGCCTGGAAGGCATCTTAAAAATAATGTAACAGTCAAATCTAATTTTACAGAGAAACTCACATGAAATCACACAGCTCATCATGATAAAGTTGGGTGGAAAACTTATCTTGATGGGCAGTGCAGGAAGAAGCAGTAGATCTTAAGATGTCCTGAAAGTTTCTTATCTCAGGGGAAACTCCCAGGTAGGCTTTATGTCAGGGACACAGAAAAATGTTCTCTGAAAGTCGTAATATTCGGGCTAGACAGACAAATTCCTGTAAGTGTGGTGTGTCTAGGAACCACAGATGTCACTAATCCTGGTTTGCTCCAGAGTTCTTTTTGTTCACTCCTACCCTCCATCACCATTTGATTGATCTCCTTACCCTATAATTTCCCCTTCTTGTCACTTACCTGCAGTATCTTTCCCACCTAGGCATGCCTTATTCTTTCTGAAGGAAAGTATGAATGGAGAGGGGAAAGCTTGGGAAACTGATAGGTTTCCTTGGACGCCAAAACAACTCCATACTGTGTCTGCCCGGTCCTATGTGGAAACAGCATTGAGTTTCAAGTCCTTTATGCCTCCACCCAGGGATAGCCACTTGGAATCCACATGGCAATTGTGAAACAAGAGGAGGAAATGCGGAATTGTCAGAATTTTGCTGGGGAAGGGACTAGGGAATAAGGAAAACAAAGATCTTCCTTGTGTTTTAGAGCTGTCAGCTAGAGGAGCACGTGCTTGAGTCTGATGCCATCTGATGGTCCCAGAAGATACTGGATTTTGAACCTAGAGTTCCATGGACTCTTAGGAATTATACTACTACTACTAAGCGTTCACTGGTGCTTACTATGTGCTATTGCTGTGCTAAGTATCTGACACATATCTTCTTACCTTATTTTCAAGATAATTCTCTGTGGCAGGTATTACTGTCTCAATTCTAACAAGGAGAAAATGGAGTTTCAGAAACATTTACTAACTTGCCTGGGTCACATAGCTAAGGAAAAAGTGGACTTTGCCCAGCTTTGCAAAACAGCTCCTCAAAAGAGTTGCCTATACTCCCTGATTCCACTTACCTTCCTACTATCCTCTTTTAAAAATATATTATTTATTTATTTAAATAAGCAATATATTAATGTGGTTTCAAATTCAAAAGACACAAAAAAATATACAGAGGAAACCCTCACTCTCAATCCTTCCCCAAGGTTTGCTAATCCCTCTTGCACAGGCAATCTGTGCTTCCAGCTTTGTGTTTATTCTGCCAGAGTAGTTTACTGTGTATTAAGCAAATATGTATATCTTTATTCTTGCTCAGTAGTTTTGCAAACAGCAGCTCTCTAAGTTCACTGTTCTGAACTTTATTTTTTAAATTAAAAATATATGGCTATGTAGTATTCTATTTTATGGAAGTTCCATATTTTATTTAGCCTGTTTCCTTTTACTGATGGCTAGTTAGGTTATTGGAAGTCTTTTGCTGTTGCTAGTTAGTCTTGTATAGATATGGTAATGCACATATGCAAAAATACGAGTATGATACAATCTTAAAGAGGAGTTGCTGAGTCCAATATATACATTATGAATATTGATATTGCAAAATTGCCTTCATAGACGTTATATTAATTTATCATTCCAGCAGCAACGTATGAGTTTATCTGTTTCTCCATATATATATATATCTCCATATATATATCTCCATATATATATCTCCATATACATATATATATAAAAGTGTATATATATATATACACACACTTTTTTGGGGTATGTAACAGTTTATTTTCAAGAATGTTTTATAAAAAAATTGTATCTGCATTGTTAAGGAAATCATCTTATTAAAAGATACTGAAATTAGATTGACTAGCTATGAAACAGTGAATAAAGTACTTAGTTTTAGGAGTTAGTTTCTTTTTCTTAATACTAAGTAAAAGCATGATTTCAAATTATCTCTGATTTGTTTGAAGTTCTAAAATTCTGAGATTCAATGTAGCTTATTCTAGTATTTCAGTATTCTGGGTGTTTCAAGGTTATACATATTATCTTCTGTTGATTGCTT